GGCAAGGCGGCTGGAGGGCCCAGGAGGCGGGGCTGAGACGGGAAGCTGGAGAGGTAAACCCGGTGGGCGTGGCCTAGGAAGTGGAGCCAGGGGCGTGCTGGGCTGAAGCCAATGGAAGGCTGGAGGGGGCGGAGCTTGCATAGAAAGCCTGGACCACCTTGCAGGGCGGGAAACCCAGAGAGTGGGCGGGCGAGGAGGGTAGCTGCAGAGTTTGAGGGGAGGACAACAGAGGGGCGGGACCGAGGAGGAAGGACCGAATGGGGCTGAGAAGCTGAGTGGATGGGCGGTCTGTGTGGCGAGGTTGTGGGACGAGGGATACCACATGCCAGGCCTGGTGGGCGGGGCAAGGTGGTGATGCGGGGCACTCTGCCGGGCCACCTGGCCTGAGGCTGTCTGTCATTCAACTGTTTCATTCTCGCAGAGGGCTTCAGAGGCTGGGAGGTGGAGCATGGAGGAAATGGCTGGGCTGTGGAAAAGAACCTGACACTGGTGCCAGGGGCCCCTTCCCAGACCTGCTTTGTGACTTCTTTCGAGTGAGTGGCCCTTGTTCGTGGGGGTAATGGCCTAAAGAGGGCAAGGAACCCGATTCACCATCCTTGTCCCTACCTTCAGTCTCTTTCCTCTTTCATCCATTTACCAACGTTTGTTGAAAGCCTGCCAAATACTCAGATTCCAGGCAGTTTTATAGGCCAGAGATACAAGGAAAAATCAGAAACGTTGGCAATGTGCCCGTTTTTCTTTTTCATTTTAAATGTAGAGTTGGGGGGACAAACATAAACAGTAACATAACAACACAACAAGCATTTTAGAGGGGTTAGCCTATGCTACACACTTTACATGTAACTCAATTTCGGCAACAACCCTATGACACGGGTATTATTGTTGGAACATTTTATAATAGGACGCTGAATTTCAGAGATAAACTAATATCTAGTGATGGAGCTGGGGTTTGCACCCAGGTGATATAGCCCCGGAGCTTCTGATTATGATAAATACTATGAAGACATCAAAACTATTTGATTAATTAGTTGATTCTCTCTTGTACTTGCCCCCCCCACACACACCCCATACTCATTCTGCTTGTCCTCTTCTTTAGGTAAAGGTTCCCTTGTGGCATTACCTAGCTTTTTAGTCATTGCCACTACATATGGGTGAAGTGATATCTCTTTGCTTATTTTGCATTGTTATGTTTACTAATAATGAAGCATGTCTTCATGTGCTTGCTAGCTTTTAAAATTCATTCTTTTGTAAATTACCTGTTCATATTTTCCACTAGGACTGAAATCTTTTTCCTAAAACATGCAAGAATTCCTTGTAGTCTTGCTGGGTGTGGTAATGCACGCTGTAATCCCAGCAGCCTGGGAAGCTAAGGCAGGAGGAAGACAAGTTCAAAGCCGGCCTCGGCAACTTAGCGATGCCCTGTCTCAAATTTAAAAAGGGCTGGGGATATGGCTTAGTGGTTAAATGGCCCTGGGTTCAATCCTCAGTGCAGGTAGGGAGGGAGGGGGGGGGAAATTCCTTGTAGTCTAGATGTCCCTTGTCCATCCTGGGAGTGGCAGAAATTTTTTCCCAATCTGCCATCTCTACTAACTGTGTTCTTTGTTGGCAGAAATCTGTTATTTCTGTATGATCAAACTTCTCTTTTTGCTTTAGAATATGTATTCTTGGGCTGGGGGTATAGCTTAGAAAGAGAGCGATTCCCTAGCATACATGAGGCCATTGGTATGATACACAGAACTGAAAAAAAAATTGTATTCTTGAATTTTTTTTAAAACAATTTCTCCCCACCCTAGATATTGACACTGGTCTTTTATATGTCTCTTATATTCTCTTCTAGTAACCTCACAGCTCTTTACATTAGATCTTTATTCTTGAATGTGCTGTTATGTAAGGACCAACTCCCCACACACCATATACTGAGGCAGTTTTCCCAGCACTGTCTGCTACAGAATCCTTCCATTCCCCATAGAATGGTGTTGCTGTCTGTATCATTTATGACGTCTGAATATATACCTAGGTCTGTCCCTCACACTCTTCTGCTCCACAGATCAATGTCTGTTGTATTCTCAAAGAGGGCTACACTATTTCTGTTAGTATCTTACATTCAAATTAGGAAAAGGAACTGTTTGTAAATATTGGGCAGACTACAGGGGATCCTACTGGACCCCAGGGCTGGGCTAGTAATGAAGAAGAGGATGGACATTGCCACCTCCAGCCTTCAGGGGAAGGGAGGAAGCAGCTATTGAAAAAGGACAGAGAAAGCTGTAAGCAGAGGGTGCTGAGGGGCTGTGTCTTCCTTTGGGAGACACAGCCGTCTCTCAGGATGGACCCAGTAGGTTTAGTACCTGACTTTGACTCTGTCCCCTTCCTTGCATCTCCTGCTGCAGCACTCCATTGGCCCACCATCAGGAAGCAGAAAATAAGGGTGACAATGCCATAAAGATCATTCGACCTTGGCCCTGGGACCCCACACATTTTTCTTTTTCTTTTTAATTGAGACTGGATCTTGTCTCAAACTTCAGGTTGGTCTCAAACTGGGCCCAAGCAATCCTCCTGCCTCTGCCTCCTAAGTAGCTAAGACTACAGGTACCCACCACCATGCCCAGAGGGCCCCCACATTTTAGGAGGCCCAGGAACTCCCTGCTTGTGTGTCCACTGTGTGACCTCCATTTGCACTCATACCCCAGTCCCCCACAAGCACTCAGGGCAGGCTGGTATATAGATCAGCCTCCTGGAGCCCAGAACAGGGTGGAAAAAGGGGAGGGGATCTGAGACACAAGGAGAGATGCCCAGCACAGTGACGCAGTGACACAGCCTATCGGGCATCTTCCTATCCTGGAAAGCAAACCGAGCCGCTACTTTAGGCATGGTGATCCGAGGAAGCGTCCTGGAGGAGGTGATTTCTAGGTGCAGCTTGAAGATCAGCATTGTGTGCTCCATCTCCTGCGTCTCCCCTCCCAGATGGTGCTTCAAGAGGCAGCTTGTGGACCTGGTGATGGAGGGCGTGTGGCAGGAGCTGCTGGACAGCGCCCAGATCGAGATCTGCGTGGCCGACTGGTGAGTGGAGTAGCAGTCTGTCCTGGAGCCACAGAGGTGAGCCATGGTGGTGGCGCAGCAAGACCTCAGTTCCAGCCTCCATGGAGGTCAGGCTGGAACTGCGCGCTCTTTGGGTGAAGCAGACTGTCGTAGTTGCACAGCCAGGGAGGGGTGGACCCTTGGTGAGCCCAGGGCACGGGTATGCCCGCCTCCCCACCCCCTTCCCAGCAGACCCACTGGGTTGTTCACATGAGGCCAGCAACTGGTCTGGTGTCACCATCATCCCCAACTCTGCGTTGACCCTAAGGTCCAAGGCTTCTGAAAGCACCGCCATGCCCTAAGAACTGACGTTCCGAGGAAGCACAGTTGGGGTGGGGACCATGAGCTTACACCAGCTCCCTCCTGAGCTCCCTCCTTCCAGAGCACCCAGGTTCCCCGCGCAGCACTCCGTCTCTTCCCTGGGGTTCCAGTTCTTTCTCCAGATCTTCGGGCTCCTCCCCTAGGTTGTGGCTAGGGCCCGAGCCTCACAGCCCACGCACCCTAGTCTAGCCCCCCCGACAGCCCTTCAGGCTCCACTCCACTCCGGGGGCACCCAGGCTCCCCCCACGGACTCTGGCTCCATCCCAGAACCAGGCTCCGCCCCCGGAGATGCCCAAGCCGTGTAGGTGCGTAGGACCCTCATTTGGGTGCAGAGAAAACCAGCCTCGGCCTCCCTCCTTGATGCCCAACCCAGAACCAGCTGGCTGGGTTGCAGGAGCATCAAGGCTCACTGCCACCCGGCAGGTGGGGCGCCCGAGAAAACTGCGGCTGCATCTACCGGCTTCGGGTCCGCCTCCTGGACACGTATGAAAACGAAGTGGTCAAGTTCTCAGCGTCCCCCAACCCAGTCCTTCAGTGGACTGAGAGGAGCTGCCGACAGGTGGGTCCAGAGCGCCTTCCCCTCACCCTCGACCCCCTCCCTCCAAGGCCCACCCGCCCAACCTGTCACCTGCGGGGCTTCCCTTCTCCGCTGTCATCGGCTGGACGCCAGTAGCAATAGCTGACGGTTTCTGAACCTCGTTCCAGGATGTTTGCAGATGTATTAGCACAACAGCCTTCAACAAACATTGAGCACCTACTGTGTGCAGGGTACTGTTAAGGTGAACACAGTCCTTACCCTGTGTGCTTGTCCTTTTTGCTGCTGGCCTCACTGCTGTCCCCTAGCACCCCCAGCAGGGCCCAGAGGTGCCTGCTGGGTATTCGGGAGCACCTGCTGAGGCGACGAAGAGGCGAGCACAGGACCCCTCCTTCTCATCCCGCAGGTCTCCCACGTCTTCACCAACTTCGGCAAGGGCATCCGCTACGTGTCTTTTGAGCAGTACGGGAGAGACATGCGTTCTTGGGTGGGACACTATGGTGCCCTGGTGACCCACTCCAGCGTGAGAATCAGGATCCGCCCGTCCTAGTGACCAGTTTGACCCCGAAGTCCAGGCTGCACTGCCACCTGCTGGATGCTGTCAAAATCAAGGGTGGCTTCACATCCCAGAGCCAGAGGATACTCAGGGACAGTGGGGGTCCCGTGTGGCTTCTTCCCCGGGCACACCTCCCGTAACCCACTTGCTGCTGTTTTGGCGTGGCCGTCCTCATGCTGTGTGACAAACCAGGGACCCAGGGGGCTCCTTAGAGCTTCCTCAGCTCCTCAGCTGGGGGTGTCATAAAAGTAACTGACATTTAGTTGGTTCATGTCTATAAATTATTTCCTCATGTGATGTCAGTGGGTAAACCATTCCCTGGTGACTGGTCTGCGTGTTTTGGGGTGAGCTGACTGCAGGCAGGGAGCGGAGGCCGTTCAGAGCATCTGACCTGGAGACCAGCAAAGACCCCAGAGAAATCCCATGTGGTCTGGGGAGTCTCCGGGATCCAGCTGTGGGGCCATGAACCCCCCACTGCTGAGCAATGTCCACCCCGCTGCCCATCAGCACCTCCTCTGGGGCCGGGTCCCTGCCCTCAGCTCCAGCCGGATCCACCCTCCTTCCCTGCACTCACACCATCTTCTATAGAGACTTCTTGAGCAAGGTGTGCCAGGAGCGCTTTCCTCATCTCCGGGCACGGTCAACCAACCAACCAGCTCAATAAAACTGGTGCTAAACATGAGGTAACGGGTGTTTTTTGTCTATTATCAGTATAATGGTTCATCTCCAGCTCTGGTCTTTTAAAGGACCATAGTTTCATGTTTACGATCTTGGCACAAAGAGGAGCTTCCAGAACCCAGAGGGCTACAGCTGAGTGACTCCCAGTTCTGCCCTCAGGGGTCTTCCCAACAGCTCTCATGCAGGTGTCCCTATCAATGCCATTTAAATGACCTATTATTATAGCTCACCAGGCCAGTGCAGGGGAGGCCTGGGCTCCAGAGCCCAAGGATGAAAACACAACTCCCACACCTTAAATTCAAATATGGCCAGGCCTGCGATCCCATGAGTCGGTATCTTGCTGTCAATGTCATTTGGAAACAGAGGCCCAGAGCGGGGCCGCTATAGGTTGAACCCAGGCGTGTGAGTCACTACATTGCGTCAGGCAGCACACCCCGTTTAATCCTTTTTCTTTTTTAAAGATGTAACTGGCTTTTGTTAGCAATTCATGAACCAGGCAGCATCCTGTCTACAGACCCAGCAAGATGCTCTGTTGAATTGAGGGGCTGTTAAACCCTTTCAGCACCCTTCGACCTCAACCCTACAATGGCTGCCACTGCCCAGGTGCCCATGCTCGAGGGTGGGGCTATCTGTGCCCTGCCCCTCGCTCGACCTGTGGGAGGGTTTCAGTGCTGCCTATTTGATTTCAAAGCTTAAAACAGCCCTGCACGCATGCACTGTACACAGAGGCATGTAGTTTAATCTTCACCAAACGAAACGGAGGGGACACTGCAAATGGGATTATTTTTTGGAAGAGCAAACTGAGGCCCAGAGAGGATGGTAGCTGCCAGGGCCACAGTGAGAGGGCAAATGCTGCACAAAGGTGGGGACGGTTTGCATCACAACCGTGGGGGACTTGTGTGCTTCCCAGGTGATGGCAGAAGAGGCCCCTCAGGCCAACTCTAAACACAGAAGCCAAGGGTGCTGACAGCACCCAGGGAACCTCACGGGCTACGATGGTCCTAAAGGAAGAGGCAGAGCTGGGCTTTGAACCCAGGACCAGCTGCCTCTAGAACAGGAAGAGCAGACCTTGAAGGACCTGCTGGAGATCCCACAAGGAACGTCCCTGTTCTGCAGGTGCCCAGGCCTCAGCGCACTGGCTGGTCACTTCTTCTTCTGCACGTGGCCACAGTCATACTTGCCCCGCACAACTTTGAGCTTGACTCCCGGCAGGTCTTGGGTGCGGCCGCCCTGCACAAGGACAACGTGGTGCTCCTGCAGGTTGTGGCCCTCCCCGGGGATAAAGCAGACAGCCTCGCGGCCTGTGCTGAGCCGGACGCGGCAGCACTTGCGGTTGGCCGAGTTGGGCTTCTTGGGCTTGCGGATGAACGTGCGCAGAACAACGCCCTTCAGCTGCGGCCGGCCTTCCGTGGGGCCCAGGCGCAGGGGTGGCCGCTTTGGGGGCCCCAGACGGTGCATCTGGTTCAGTGTAGCCATGGAGCGGGTGGCGCAGAGCTGGGGTACCAGGGCCAGGCCTGGAAGGACACAGCGGGGAGAGTGGAAAGGGGTTACCACCCCAGCACAGATGATGGCATCCTAACTCCACGCTGGTGTCCTGGCATCCGCCCAAGCACTTTACCTGGCCACACTGGCTTACCTCTGGGGGCATTAGGGACAACAGAGATGACAGCTATTTATTGAGCAACCACCTCCCATGAGATTGTTTTAAGCATTTTACATAAATTAACTCATGATATTCTTCAAAGAAGGCGCTCATCTGAATGCTGCTTAGACACGGTGACACGGAGCACGAGCACGTACACCGTGTTGCAGGGACAGACACTTGTGCCATCGCTGCCGCAGCCTTCTGGGTATTCCTGGAGGTGTTGTGACCTCCTCTCAAACCCCTGCCCAACCTGTGGGTACACCCTGGCAGTTCTCCCTTCACCTCAGGTCAGAACCCACAGCTCTCTCCCTCCTGCCCACGCCCATCTGAGTCTGCCCCAGCCGTGTCCTCAGGCTGGGCTAATCGCACCTCCCCTCTCCCAGGTCTCCCTGCACCCTGCCCACGCCCATCTGCGAGTCAGCTCATATCCCTCCCCTATTCAGATCCCTGCGGTGGCTCTATCGCCATCAGGGGAAAGGTGACCCACAAGGTACAATCTGCCCATGACTTCTTGCCCACTGGCTCATTTTCTCATGCTGCTCCAGCCAGGTCCCCAACACCAACAGAGAAGAGACCATTGTGGCTGTGGTGGAGTCTAAGAAAAGGCAGGTGGTAGGGGAGGTAGATATATTCCCAATGAAGACCACCAGGATTTACTCATAGACTCGATGTAGGATATAAGAAGATTCAAAGACAACTGGCTTCTCAGAAACAAAATTTCACTGAGCATCTACTATGTCTTGGCCCCAATAATACAGACATAGCAGCAGTGGGGAGCACTGGGCCCTGTGCAAGTTCTTGGGCTGAGGTTACAGTGTCATACATCTATCTACCTCCTCTTCCTCTGTCACTAGCATAGATACCCCATCAGCACCACAACTTCACACTCCATATCCAGCAGGCCCTCAACCTCTTGTCAACTCCCGTGTCTCCTTCTGTAAGACTGACAGTAGAGGGCTGTGTAGCTCAGTGGCAGAGGACTTGCCTAGCTAGCACATGTGAGGCACTGGGCTTGATCCTCAGCACCATAGAAAAATAAATAAGTAAAATAAAGGGAATATATCCATCTATAACTTAAAAAAAAAAAAGTGACAGCAGAATCCTCAAAAGGAATGAGTCATTTCTAGAAGTGACTGACTAGTGATGAGTCCTTGAGCAAGATTCTTGGCCTGTCAGTGCCTCGGTTTCCCCATCTGCATCCTGGGCACTATGACCATGTCTCCTCCTCAGTAGTGTGTATGAAACTCCCAGGAATCAATGCATTTCCAGCTAGCTCTGATTCCCATGGCAGGGTGCAGGCCTGTCCTGCCCACCTTTGTGATCCTCGGGGAATGGCAAACAGAGGGGCTTAAGAAAAGTTGGCACAGTAAATAGGTGAATGAAATGCCTCAGA